TCCAGCTGCAGCGAGACCCCGGGCCAGTGGCCGCGGCGGCTGGCGGGCCGCTTGGAATCAGCAGAGGGCGCTGTGTTCCCAGCAGTTCGCAGTGGGCGGCTCCCAGCTGCCGGCCAGATGTGGACAGCTGGACTGCGGTAGGGACGAAGTTCTACCCGAGCCCTCGCAGATCCGCAGGAGGCGGGAAGAGCGAAGAAGGGATGCAGGGGGCAAGAGTGGTGGCAGAACACCCTACTGTTGCTGCGGGCTCCCGAATTGCCTTTCCTTGCGGGGCAGAAGAGGGGAACTCACCCGCCCAGAGGGGATACCGTTTTGTGATGCCCACAAAAGTGCAGAACGGGCTGACAGTGGCCCTGGGGCTGGCTCAGCAAGACTAAGCCGGGTCCACGGGGTCGGACGCGAAGCCAAGCGGGACCCACGCGGGCGGCTGAGTTAGGAAAGAGTTGGCCTTGAGGGCCCTGCTTCTTGAAAAACCAGCCCCTCGCTCCGAACGCTCCAACACCGCACACAAATCCTCCGTGCGCCCTTTCTGCCCTGAGTGCGAGATGCACGCGAGGAGAGAGAAACTGAGGCACAGCAGGACGGGTCACTGAGCAGACCCTTCCTCCCCATATCATCTGGTGCGAAGAAGTTGGGCTAGAGAGCCAAAGACGGTAGCTTGAATTAAGGACCCCGGGGGCCGGGGACAACCCCGGGGACCCCACCCCTTGGCCTGCCCGCGGCCTCCACAGGGCAGCTCCCCCGACTCCGGGTAATCAGCTGCTGCGCAGTTGTAATTGGCGGTGCTGGCGGGCCTGGCGAGAGGACCCGCGGACCCGCGGGCGGCGGAGGGGCAGACAAGGGGCTTAATTGCAGGGCTTTGGGCTGCAGTTTGGGTTGCGGCTCTGCTTGGGGGGGAGGGGACGGGCCCTTAGCTCGGTGGGCCTGGCCTAGGAGGGAGCCCAAAGGCTTTCAGGTCGGTAGCCCAGGGTCCCTTCCCTGGAGACTTGGGGGAGGGGGGTGTTGAACTTCTGCGAGAGTGGGGGGGGGGAGGATGTCTCTGGAGAGCTTGGGGGGCTGATTCCAAGCTCCCCACCCCAACTCTAGAAGCCCTGGTTGGTCTTGTCCAAGACTCCGGCTTCGTTCTAACCCGCACCCCTCCGCTCCCCTTTCTGCCGCCCCCGTCACCCCCCTTCTCGTATCCCCAGGGCGCTCCCACCCTGAGGAAGAATGTGCCCTCCTAGCGCACCCTTGCCATGGCAAAGGCACACCCCCACCCCCGCGCACCGCAGCGGCCTGGCCTGGCCCGCCCCGCGCCAAGGAAAGGCGGGGGGGGGGAGGGGGGAGTGGACGCCCAGCGGACACACCTCGGCTGCTCTGGTTGCCACAGAAACCGGGTACGTTGCGAAGTGCGCAGGCGCCAAGTGGCAAAGGGCTCTGCTCAGAATTCCCCACCCTCAAATCCACCAAAAGGGGATCCTGGCTCCAGGTACGGTCCACCTCCAACTTCAAGGCAAGGTCCAGAAAGGGATCATGGACATTTAGGCTTTCTTTCACGCACTGGGAGTCTAGAGAGCGTAGGCATCGGAGGGCCCCAGGAGCCTGGAACCAGAAAAGGGGATCCCCCTGTCGCCAGCCCGTCCACCCTCCCCCAGCAGAACCCAAGGGGGGCACTGGCAGCAGGAAGCCGGGGAAGGGCCCGGAGGCGCACAGGCCCCACAGCGGAACGGTGATTACAGGGACCTGTCCCTCCCGCCCCCGGCTCCCACTCTCATTAAGTCATTTTTTCCCCTGTTGGAAAGTCCCCGTGCCTTGAGCGCAGGGGCTGCGGCGACCGCAGGCAGCTGCTGGCAACCACATGAGAAGGGGGGGAGAGGAAAAGGGGAGCCACGAGTAGAGCCTGGCCACGATCCAACGTGGAAGGCCCCCTGCCAGGGGGCTAGCTGGGGCACATGGATTGGGGGAGAGAGGGGTGGGCTGATGCCCCTGACCCTGCTTCTCACCCACCCGGGCCCTCAGGCCTCTACCTTTGAACACCTCTCCCTTCCCCTTTTTTTCCTACTGTGGGACCTTGGGTGACTGAAAGCAGGGTGCCTGCTTCTGACCCCCAGCCTGGCTACCTCTCCTTGAGCCTTCACTCCACCCTGCGTGTACTATCCAACACCCTCCTTCCCTGCTGGCTGCCTCCCTTCCTCCCTTTGGAACCATCTAGGCTCCCTTAGACCATATTGTATTTTCTTCCTCTACCCAGTGTCCATCAAGGTGAAGGGTGTTGGGAGGGGCTCTCCTCCGCTGGACCATCTCTAGCCACCTTCTGTTCCCATTTCCAAATGTCACCTCTGGCCTCCCCAGATGTTGGTGAGTTCTTCCTCCTATCTGCCCTCCAGGTTTCCGCTTTATTTCAGCCCCTTTTGCCTATTTCTGATCAGCACATGGATTCCTGCCTCTCTTAAGCCCAGGGCCTCTTGGGCCCTGTTTTAGCACACCTCATCACCTCCACATCTCCCTTTCAGGCCTTCACCAAGTCCCACATGCCCCTTTTCAGTTATGGGGTCCAGCCTTGGCCCAGGACTCTAGTCAGCTTCTGGCCCAGAGCAAGGATAGGAGAGGGGCAGCACCCCATTTGTTCCTTCCCCAGCCTTCCCTCCCCTCCTTGACAGGTCCAAACAAAAAACAAAACCGTTGTCCTCAGTCAATTCCAACTCACAGTAGGACAGAGTAGAACTGCCCATAGGGTTTTCAACGCTATCCTCTTTACAGAAGGAGACTGCCACACGTTTCTCCCATGGAGGGGCTGGTGGGTTAAGCCTGGAGCTTAACCATTGCACCACCGAGTCTCCTTAGCAAGTCAGGGTAGCATATATCAGATCACCATGATTTGACTCACTATAACATGTGCTGTCCCCCACAGCCCGATGTCCACCCCATGCCCCACCCCACCACCCACCCTTCCCTCTGGTGACAGCATGCTCTTCGGGGTTGCTGCTCCTACCTCATTATCCCAACCCTGAGCCTGTGTCTCATCTTCAGCCTCCCCTCCCCCAGCTCTGTCTTCCTTAAGCCTGGAAGGCAGAGGAGGGTGAGGCCAAGCTCAGTGCTGTAGTGGACACTGCTGGGTGAGAGCGCCCTCCCTTCCAGGCCTCCATTCCTGCAGCCTTTTCCTCCTCCCCTGGAACCCAGCCCCCACAGCTCTCTCCTGGGTGAACAAGAGGAAAGGAATGAGGCAGGTGTGTCTGGCTGCTCCTGCTTACCCCTCCTCCTGAAGGACTCTCAATGCCTGCCCATGGGGAGTGGGAGAGAAACACCGTCCTCCACAAAGGCAGCAGAGTTGAGCATTTGGGGGCCCTGCCACTTTAGGCAAGACCCTGTCTGGGAGCTACTGGGATGCAGGCAATTGGAGGGAAGGAGCTGAGGGCAAGTTAGTGGGGGCAAATCTCCCAGTTGGTGGGCCTACAGAGCACATCACCATGAGAGGGTCCTTTCTTTCTTTCCCAGCTCTACCAAGGAGTAGGGAAACATGGGGCAGGGGGAGGGCAATATGGGGTACTGGTGCAGGCTGGCAATTAGGAAAACGAGCAAGACCACCTCTGCCTGGCTCATCAAAGAAGGATGCCAGTCTGGGGTAAACTGAGGCAGGCAGCAGGATCCCCAGCTGCCAGCAGCAGAAGGCTTGGATGAAGCAGGTAAAGTGTTCTTTCCCTGAGCTCCTGACTCTGCCTTACTCCCCAGCACCCTCCTCCTTGAGGGTCTGTTCCAGAAAAACATCAGCTCTGAGAGCCAAGGACAGTGCAACACTGGACCCAAAGTGCCAGCTCAGCAGAGTCCTCGTGGGGGGGTGGGGGGAATGAGGGGCTTATTGACCTGCCAAGGGGCACTCTGAGCTGAGGAGCTGGGGCCACAAGAGGCCTAGGAAGGAGCCTCCCCCACCCCCACCCCAGCCTTGGTTTACACCCCCTCCTCCTCTGCCTGGACTCCCAGAGACCAGAATCCAGACAGTGAGTCTCCGGGCCCTCCCCCACCCCCCTCCTCCCTGCCACACCTCCTGGCCCCACCTGCTCCCTGAGGCGCTGGGCTGGGTTGAGCTGGGTCTTGCCCAGGATTACTCCTCTCAGAGTGCCTCCTGTCTCTGCTGACGGGTGCTGCTGGGCACCTCCACTCGTCCTGGCTTGTGGCAGAGGGCTCAGGCACAAGGTGGGCAGCTAGAGCTCTAGGACTGAGGGGCTCCAGATCCAGCCCCTTCTCCACAACCCCACCACCTCCAGCCTAGTCCAGGACTTGGAAGATGGCCTCCCTGCTGTCACCTTGTCCCCCTTCAGCCAGTTCCCCATACAGCAGCCAGAGAAGTCTTCTCCATGTGAAAGTTAGGCAGTGACACTCTCTGACCTGAGACCCTCTGAAGGTCCCCAACTCCCTATCCTGGCAAAGGACACATGATGCAGCCCTCACCCACCCTCTGAGCACCTCTCCTGCTAATCTGCCCCTTGATGTCTTCACTCCAATTGATCACATTGTCGTCTTTGCTGTTTCTCCAATAGGCAGACAGCTTCCTCACCTCAGAAGCAATTGCATGGCTTCTACCTGAAAAGCCCTCACGCTCAGTATCTGCATGGCCCTCCTTCTCCTCGGGAGGTCTCAGCATGAGTGTCACTCAGAGTGACAGCCCTAACCAGTGGCTTTGTCTAAAGGGCCCCCACTCCCCACAAATAACTCTATGCCCAGCACCCTGCTTTATTTTCTAAAAGCACAGAACACAGTCTTATCTTCTTTGTGTATTTGCTTGTTTATCCATCTCCCCCAGCCAGAATGTAAACTCCAAGAGGGCAGTGCTGTGTCTCAGTCACATCTGTATCCCCATAGCCCCTTATACCCCACAGAGCGCCAGGCCACAAAAAGAGTGCAAAATAAATATTGTTAAATGAATGAGGAGGGGCAGAGGCCGTTGGGGGAGGGTGCCTGGGGCCTTTATAGAATCACTTCAGCTCAGCTGTGTCCATTTCTTCTCTTTAACCCTCCTCCCGCTGCTGCCTGTCAGCTTCCATTCCCTTCCCCTGCATGGGAAGGGGTGATGGGATGAAAGGAGACAGTCCCAGGGGTTGCCTGTTGGACACTAGCCCTAGGAGGTGGGGCAATCCCCAGCCCAATTGAGCTGTCTGAGCTTGGGGCACCGAGGGGCAGGCAAATCAGTCCTGGAGCCCACAGAAGTGACTGGTGGGGTCCAGACCGGCCTGGACTGTCCTGTGATCGAAGGCTTGATGAGCCTCAGAGCTGGGAGATTCCTAGAGGCTCATATGGTCCAACCTCCTCCTGTCCCAGGAGCCAAGGCGACGCTGCCTGGCCGAGAGCGCCAGCCGCTGGAGGCCAGGCTCCAGGGACCCGGGCGCTCACTTGCAGACGCTGACCCACTCGGTGATGCGGCACTCCTCGCAGACCACGAAGCAGCACCAGTGGAAGCGGCAGTGGCAGCGCTCGCTGCGCGTCTGGCGCAGGATGTTGTGGCCGCGGCCACAGCACATGCTGCCGCAGCCATCAGGGCCCGCGCTGCTCTTGTTGCACAGGCGGCCCACGGTGCCCGCCGAGTCCAGGCGCGGGTCGTGCTCGCAGAAGTCGGGTGACTTCTCAAAGTAGACGAGGTCGGCGGAGCTGGCGCGGCGGCGTGGGCCTGGGGCGCCCGGGGAGGGCGAGGGGACCCCCGAGGGGCCTGGCTCCAGCTGGCCGCCGTTGTGGTTGTGCGGCCGGATGAGCGTGGCGCGGTGGAAGCGGCTGCGCAGGAGCGCCCCCACGGCGCGGAACTCCGGCGTCACCTGCCAGCATGTCTTGAGCTGGCAGCTGCCTGAAGTGCCATGGCACTTGCACTTCCGACGCATGTTCTCCATCACCGCCTGCGGAAGGGGGCACAGTGAGGAGTGGCGCCAGCGGCCAGCCCCACTGCCCTCATCCCTACGCTGAGACTGGCCTTCGGGGAATCTCCGAGGCCTTTGACACCAACACCTATTGTACAGAGACAAAAGCGGGCCACACACAGCTCCTGAACCAGGCGTCAGGCTCTTCTGCTTGTGCTCCCATCACCTCCCACCAGGCCAAGCCCTGGGGGAATTCCCTCCTTCCTGCCCTCCCCCCACCCCCCTTTCCCAGCAGCTGCAGGGGGCCCCTGGGGCTGGAGGCTCTCCCCTGCCACCCAAGTCCTCTCTTGCTTCCTGAGGGGGGATCCCAGATCATCAGGGAAAGTCCCTCTCCTTCCATCCCCATGGCGGAGGCAGGAGCAGGGGGCTGCCAGCCTCTGGCCTAGCTCCAGGCTGTCAGCAAAGCTGCAGTGAGTCTGAGAAAGCCCTATTCCTCTCCCGGTCCTGCAGCCCTTTGCAGGTAGCCTAAGAAGGGAACAGGGGGTCAGCTGGGGAGATGCTCCCATTATGCTGGCTGTAGCTGGGACTTACTCTGCTCTCTGCTGAGTGCAAGTGGCCCTCCTAGGAAAAGTGAGCCCCGGCAGGGCCAAAGGCTCTACCTGAATGCAGAACAGGAGCGGAACCCAAAGAGCAGGTCTCCCAGCCCAAAGGGGAGAGAGGTTCCAACTTCCAGGGGAGGCAGTTATAGAACACAGTCCCTTCCCTCCACTAGTTCTCAGCCTGCCCTAGAGTCTCCTCCCAAAGAGCTCCTTGGCATTATCTTCACCAGAGACCCCCAGTAGGAAGTTGACTCCCCCCCCCCACTTCACTCCAAAAACAGACCCTCAGACAGGGAGAGCAATGATCCAGCCCTTCAAATCCAGGCAGCAGGGCCCTACAGAGAGGGACCTAACCCTCCAAGTCTTAAAGGGCTCCTGCAGCTTGTCTGTGCAGCCTGTGGTGTCAGCACCACGTGGGAACCAGCCCCCTGCCTTCCCTGGCCAACAGTTCCAGAACATCTGCTTCCCACAGGCAGCAGCCATTAATTAACCAGTTTAACGAGGAGGAAGAGGCGGCACCATTGGTCTGGGCTGGGATTGTCTTGAAGCTTGGGGGAAAAAGCTGCTGCATGAACCGGGCAGCGCTGGATGGGAGCTGGCCGTGATCTGAGGATGGGTGTGCCTCAGTTTACCTTGCCTCTAAGTCAGGATGGAAGAGCTGAATGAGCTCAGAGCCTATGTGGAGGCAGAAAGTGAGACACCTAGGCTGAGAGGCCAGAGAAAGAGGAGTGAGGTGGAGAAGAAGGGGCCAGCCCAAGTGAGAGGAAGCCAGGAACAACGCCTGAGCCGGCTGGGCAGGGCTAAGAAGATGAGGATAATGCCAAATAGCCAGGAGAGGAGGGCACTGACTACCATGAGGGTCCATGGGGCATCACAGTATACTCTACATGATGTGGACTCCGTGTGCACAGGTGCAGATTCTACCCTGGAAGGCAAAAGAGCACAGGCTCAGAGCCTGACGATGAATCCTCCCTCTACCATTTTCTTAGCATCTGTGTCACCTTGGGCAAGCTTCCTAATCTCTCTGTGCCTCCATTTCCATGTCTTAACATGAAGGTAATAGTACCCACCTCACAGGTTAGTTGTAAGGATTGAATGGCTGATATGTAGCAAAGTGCTCTGGACAATGCCTGGCATATAGTAAGCACTCACTAAATGCAGGCTATTATTACTTTCCTCGGTTTTATCCCCCCATGTGAGGGCAGGGGAGAAAGGAGGAAGGCAACGTAGCACAGTAACACGGGGGCACCCGGAAACCTCAACTCCCTCACACTGCAGGAATCCCTCCTTCTGAGACTCCACAGAAAGGCTGGGAGAAGATGGAGACGGCAGCAGAGGAGAGCACAGAATCATAGAACGACAGAGTTTGGAGGACCTTATGATGATCTAGTCCAATCTTCTGCCTTTATAGGACAGGAGACTGAGGCCCTGAGAAAGTGGCAGAGCTAGGTCTAGGCCCCTGGTGTACGGATTGCCAGCCCAGCCCCATCTCCATTTATTACCGAGGGGGAGTGGGAGGAGCAGGTTGCTCAGCCAATGGATGGAAGGACGGATGGATGGCTAGCTAACCCAGGGCAAGCGTTGTTTCAGCTCTGTATTCTCCAGGCCTGGTACAGTGCCTGGCACACAGTAGGAATTCAATGCTTGCTGATTGAATTACTGGGGAGGGAGCAATGAAAAAGGAGTTGAGCTAGAGGGAGCAGAATGGTCCCTGGAGGCGAGGTAGGCTTGGGAGAGGGGCAGGTCCTAGGCAGAGGGATTTGGGACAGGCTCAGGGGGCGGGGCTCTCACCTGCCTCCCGACTCTGTTGTTGTGGAGCCTCATGCGTGCGTGGATGTCTCTGTGGGGCTCCCGGGAGTCCAGAAAGTCCTTAGAGAAGCGTTCCCCGAATCCCACGTCAGGGCTGCAGCCGCCCCATTCCCAGGAGTCCTGCAGGCCGGGGCTGGCAGGGGGCGGGGCCGGGTGCTCGGGGACCCCGTGGCTTAGGCCCTTCCCGCGCTGCAGTGCGTCCAGCTGCAGGCGGTGCAGCTTCCTGCGGAAAGCCTCCTCGTCCCCGCGCCGCGCCGCATCGCAGCCGCATGCCCGCAGTTTGCCCAGGGCGCACGCGTTGGACACCGCGTGGACCACGCCGGCTGCCGCGATGGCGTAGGCGAAGGCGCTCTCTCGGAAACCTGCGAGTGGAGACCCAGGAAACAAGGGTGTGTGCTGGAGGGGCCTCGACATCCCATCCCCTGCCCCTCTGCCCCTGCGCCCGACCTTCTCGTCTTGTTATTGGAAGGTGCCCTTGAGTCGGTTCCGACTCCTAGCGACCCCATGCACAACAGAATGAAACACTGCTCAGGTCCTGCGCCATCCTCACAATCGTTGCTATGTTTGAGCCCATCTTTGCAGTCACTGTGTCAGTCTATCCCCGTTGAGGGTCTTCCTCTTTTTCTTCTGTCTTACAGGGGAGAAACTGAGGCCCAGTGTGGGGGAGGGTTTGGTACAAGGACACAGAGTAGAGGGGCAGAAATCACACTAGAAGTCAGGTGTTCTACACACACGATGTAAGGGTCTGTTTTTGCACCCCCTTCGCCTTTCATTAGGGAGCCCTGGTGGCTCAGTGGTTAAGCACTTGGCTGCTAATCGAAAGGTCCTGGGGTTCGAACCTACTGTTCACTAGGCGGGAGAAAGATGTGGCCCTCTGCTTCCGTAAAGATTACAGCTTTGGAAACTCCATGGGGCAGTTCTACTCTGTCCCATAGGGCCACTTTGAGTTGGAATTGACCGGAAGGCAACGGGTTTGGTTTGGGTTCGCCTTTCACTAGCATTCCCCCTTGCAAGCACAGAACTCCTGTGTCTACATCTCTCTTCTTGGGCAGAAAGTATCTGGTAAAACACATTCTTTTTAAGATCGAGGACTTAATCTACTACCTCTCACGGTGATAATTTGCAATTTTAAAGCAAGCCGACAGATCCATGCCTCACCTTCCCATGCCCCCATTCCTAATTCCCTGGGACCAAGCTCCTAAACACATAGAAGCTTTTGCGTCAAGCTCTGCTTTCTTGGGAACCCGGGATAAGACAAACACCCAGAGACCTGCACTAAAGGGACTTATAAAGAATATAATTCAGAAAGAAAATGATCCTAAAAGACAGAGATTTAAGAAGGAATGGTGAACAAAAAAGGAAAAAAAAAAA